TAAGCTTTTTTGTTATTATGAAAAGAAACGATTAATTTAATACTTTAAACTGATTCTTTCTTGTGTGGAAAAATAAATTGGGATTAAAAAAATTTCTCCCCTGAATAAATTGTTTTAAATACATGCTTTTATTTCGAAAGTAAATTCAATAATTATATATATAACATTCTCTAACCTTGATGCAGACAGGGCACTGCCTATAGATTTCTTTTTAAATGTAAAAATATTTGAATGATTGTGATGTAACTTTTGACAGTTTGACAGTTGCCATTAAAAAAAAGTCCAAACTTCAATATATGTGGCTGGTCTGAATAAATAAGTAAGCTGCACAAGAGTAAAAGCATTTGTAGCAACTACAGCAAAATAATCTTTTAAAGAAGCCCAAATAGTAAACAGTCACAAAACAACGGAACTCTGGGGATATCACTGATGGGTTCTGTCCCTTCATATGCCAATAAGGCTTGACTGCCACCAAGTGGATCAGTGACGCTATTGAAGAAATATGAAGCTGAATGACCATTTTACAGATTTTTACAAATATATACAAGTTGTAATGTTTATTTTTGTCACTTTGAGCGACTAAGTCAAACAAATTAATAGTCACTTTTGCTCAGTGTTGTACTGTCTGTAGTCACAAATCTGTGAATGTTCAGCCCATAATGTGAAAATCAGTTCTTGATATTTCATCAAACATTTTTAGATCACATTTATTTGTAAGATCACAACAGGGAATTAAAACATTACATTAAATTACATTTTGGAAACTTTATAAATGTAAACACAATAAACCTGAATGCGTTCACCTTTTTTCATGGGTGCTTTTCAACAACACGCAGAGGCCTAAATTATCATCGTGTCCATTAGGGCCGTGGAGAGATCCCTTCTGAAGGTTAACAAAACACACACACACACTTAAGTTCAGTTGAAGCTGATATGAGGTGTCAGATGTCAAGTGGATAATCTTACATTTGAATGATATTAGGAAGGGATCTTCAAATGTGCAGAACACCATATCAAAGATTTGAAAGCCAAAGGTGAAACTACTTAACATTTAATGCATAAAAATAGGTGATTAATAAGGGGCATGAGAAGATTTCTTGATTTTTAGTTCCCCAAAAGGGTCTTCAGCTATTCAGCGTGAGAGGACTTGCAGGCGTCGCAGTCCACTTCAGGGCGGACCTTTCTCGATGCAATTCTGATGCTGCCGTGTTGTTTTCGATTCACCACTCTGGTGGCAATCATGTAGAATATCTCACAAATGTTGAGCACCACACACAGGACGGATGCCCCCACCATGAAGTAGGAAAAAACGGTTTTCTCAGTGGGTCGAGACACGTAGCAGTCGACCAGATTTGGACAGGGGCTGACATCGCATTGAACCTTCCTGGGCAGCTTAAAGCTATCGTAGATGTAGTGGAGCAAGTAGAGAAAAGTGATCTCGAAACCAGTTTTGATGAAGAGGCTCATCAGGTACGTCCACCACAGGCCGCCATGCTTTTGTCCCGGGTTGTCGTAGAGCCGAGTGTTCTCGCCGTGCTTGGCTCGGTACTTGCGTTCCCGTTCTTCACGGTAAGCCACGTGGAGCACCACCATGAATGAAGGGCAAGTGATGAAAACAAGTTGGAGAGCCCAAAGGCGAATGTGGGAGATGGGGAAGAAGTGATTATAGCAGATGTTGGTGCAACCAGGCTGACGGGTGTTGCAGTCGAAGTGCCCCTGCTCGTCGCTCCAGACTCGCTCAGCAGCCACCACGAAGATCAGCACCCGGAAAACAAAGACCACGGATAACCAGATCCTTCCGAAGGCAGTGGAGTACTTGTTGACTCCGCTGAGAAAACCCTGAAGAACTTTCCAATCCATGAGTTCAGGCTTCAATACGTTTCTTTTAAGCTGTGAATATTTGGGGAGGCAGAAAAAAAAGAAAACATAAAGGCAAAGTTATGCAATCATCCAGAGAATATCTGTTCCCAACAGTGGATCTTTCAAATAGGTGTTCCCATTTCTGATCAAACTTTTGCTCGGAAGCTCTGAAACCTAAAGCTCTCCCACTTCTCACAGCATGTTTTCACTTATGTTCAAAATTTGACACTTTTAAAGAAATATGCCATTAATAATTAATGAAATGCTCACTGGTTTATAACATAAAATCCCTCGACAGCACAAAAGATACTTGATTCTCTACCTCGGCTACCTTTAGAAGAGTTTAAGCTGAAGCTTGCCTCAACTGTGTTCCACGTTTAGTTCTTCCATTAAACTTAAGGATTTCTTTTTCTAAATAAAGTTTTAAAAGGAAAAATAACTTATGTGAGACTGTATCTAAAAGAAACTTACCTTATGACTTCTGTTCTTGCACGCAGTCTTTCATGCGTCCAGTCTAGGAAATAAACTTCCTAAAAAAATAAGTTAAACAGGTAGCATTGGTTCAACCTCTGGACGGATTGGTCATAATCTAGAGGTGTGTCCACTTCTGGCATCTACCCAGCTAATCGGAGTGCTGGACAATATACTACCTTAAAGTTATGAATGCAGCAAAAAAATTACAAAATACACATACGTAGTGATACGCTATCATTTAGCCTTAATAAGGCACATTTTAAATTGTATTTGTCCACTGTGATTTGAGTTTCTTATGTTTCTTATCAGTCTCATGAGGCAGTTGAGATGTGAAGATATGTCCTTGGGTAGGTGCTTAGTCAACCAGGCTACCACCTAACATTTGTTTGAGCAACAACTCTAAAATGCACCTGAGATATGGAGAGTTGATATCGCTAAACAGTATATGCATTTGTTTGTTGATTTTCTAAGGTTAGGAAGTGCAGCAGTCACCACCTTATAAGTACACTCAGTACAAATCTGTTCTTTGATATGACGCTCGTAGAAGGAATGCCAAATGTAGTTTTTACTGAGGTGGTGCGAAACTAGTGTAGGAGTAGTGTTTGTTTTTAATGCTACTCCCTTCACTTACCACATGAAGTTGTCATGTGGATACATCACATTGTGGTTTTGCTGACTACTTTAAAAGATCTTATGGAATGGTAGTAGCAGTCTGGCTCTATTAGTTCATTTTACAGCATTGCAATCTCAAGAACTTAACCAGAACACCAGTGATCTGTCTCAGCTTTGGGTTGGGTTTAGCCACTTGCTAAGTTTACAGAAACTAGAACAGCATTTCAAATAAACTTTTATATATTTTGGCGTGACGATTTTTCTGTTGAATGTTCCAAACAGGTAAAACATTCTGTAGAAAGTGGTGGAATTTAAATGAAAGTCTAACCATGGTGGATAACTAAAAAATGATAAACTGTTGAGAAGTTATAATGTCCATCCTAATTCTTTCTGAGTGTTAAAGAGAAAATCAGTTTACTTTAATTCATTCAGCACAGGTTCAGAAATTTTGTGTTATGTAGATTGGAGAATCATAACGGTTGGTTACATTGTAACCCAGGTTCTCTGAGGGGAAAGACTAGATCTACACTGAACAAAAATTTAAACGCACACTTTTGTTTTTGCTCCCATTTTTCATGAGCTGAACTCAAAGATCTGAAACATTTTCTACATACACAAAGGACCCATTACTATCAAATATTGTTCACAAATCTGTCTAAATCTGTGTTAGTGAGCACGTCTCCTTTGCCGAGATTATCCATCCCACCTCGCCGGTGTGGTATGTCAATGTGCCGATTAGACAGCATGAATATTGCACAGGTGTGCCTTAGCCTGCCCACAATAAAAAGGCCACTCTGAAATATGCAATTGATCACACAGCACGAGGCCACAGATGTGCCAAAACCAGTCTGTATCTGGTGTGGCCACCATTTGCCTCATGCAGTGCAACACATCTCCATCGCATAGAGTTGATCAGGTTGTTGATTGTGGGCTGGGAAGGTTGGTCTATTCCTCTTCAATAGCTGTGCAAAGTTGCTGAATATTGGCAGGAATTGGAACACGCTGTCATATCCGTCAATCCAGAGCATCCCAAACATGCTCAATGGGTGACATGTAGGGCGAGTATGCTGGCCATGCAAGAACTGGGATGTTTTCAGCTTCCACGAATTGTGTACAGATCCTTGCAATATGGGGCCGTGCATTATCATGCTTTAACATGAGGTGATGGTCATGGATGAATGGCACAACAATGGGCCTCAGGATCTCAACACGGTATCTCTGTGCATTCAAAATGCCAGCAATAAAATACACTTGTGTTCGTTTTCCATAACATACGCTTTCCCATACCACAACCCCACCCACCATTGGTCATTTGATCCTGAGACGGTTTCTGACAGTTTGTGCAGAAATTCTTTGGTTATGCAAACCGGTTTTTGCTGCAGCTGTCTGGGTGGCTGGTCTCAGACGATCCTGGAGCTGAACATGCTCAATGTGGAGGTCCTGGGCTGGAATGGTTACACGTGGTCTGCGATTGTGAGGCCGGTTGGATGTACAGCCAAATTCTCTGAAACACCTTTGAAGAAGGCTTATGGCAGAGAAATGAACATTCATTTCACGGGCAACAGCTCTGGTAGACGTCCTGCAGTCAGCATGCTAATTGCACGCTCCCTCAAAAGTTGCGACATCTGTGGCATTGTGCTGTGTGATCAATTGTATATTTCAGAGTGCCCTTCTATTGTGGGCAGTCTAAGGCACACCTGTGCCATATTCATGCTGTCTAATCGGCACCTTGACATGCCACACCTGCAAGGTGGGATGGATAATCTTGGCAAAGGAGACGTGCTCACTAACACAGATTTAGACATTTGTGAACAATATTTGATAGTAATGGGTCCTTTGTGTATGTAGAAAATGTTTCAGATATTAGAGTTCAGCTTATGAAAAATGGGAGCAAAAACAAAAGTGTTGCGTTTATATTTTTGCTCAATGTACATTGCTGAACATGTGGAATATGTAGAGTGGAGAGATAGTCTTGACATATGGTCATATACATCCAAAAAAAAATCATTTTGATAGTATCAGATTAAACGTTTATTGAAATAGCAGTACATACATGCTCAACACATCAATGTTGGGGAACAAAAACATAAAATAGTTAAAATGTAAAATTGGTTTCAAAATAACCAACATCATCTGTTTGTAAGCATTTACTGATGATTCTGATTCTGATATTTAAAAATTCATTATGTCTCTCAGGACATAATGAGCTCAGGCTATGGTGTAGGGCGGGGCTGAACCCTTCTGGCCCGGTTCTCCATTGGTCACACTCTTCTCCAGAACCGGTTCTTTGTAGGCTGAGTTTTCATTACCACTCAGAGGAACTCTGGTCATCATGAAGGAGTTGTCTCTCATGGAGCGAGGTCCTTTTTTGCAGCATTCCCGGAACCTCTTCCCACACAGATATAACACCTCACAAAGAGTGAGGAAAATGCACACAAAGCTGGTCACCACCATAAAGACAGTAAATATCTTCTTTTCCGTTGGCCTGGAAAACAGAGTGTAAGAGATAAAACATAATGTAGGATTGAGCGTTTGAAATTTTTGGCCATTTAGAACCTTAAAGGTATCCCTTACCTCGCAATGTAGCAGTCCACCACATTGGGACATGGCTCTTCTCTGCATTTCACCAGTGGAGGAAAGAAGGCAGCTTCGTAGAGGTAAAACAGCAGGAAGACAAACACGCCATCCACAGTTATCTTGAACAGCAGGCTGAAAAAGTAGGTCCACCAGAGACCCCCTCGTTTCTTTCCTGTGTTATCATACAGAGGTGTGCAGTCTTCTCCGTACTTTAGCCGGTGCTTACGCTCCCGGTCTTTTCTGTAGGAAACGTGGAGAGTCACGAGAAGGGATGGACAAGTCACAAAGATCAGCTGGAGAGCCCAGAGTCGGGTGTAAGAGATGGGGAAGTAGTGGTCATAGCAGACATTTTGACAACCAGGCTGGCGGGTGTTGCAATCAAAGTCCTTTTGTTCGTCGCCCCAGACCTTTTCACAAGCCACCAAGAAGACCAAGAGCCTGAAGATGAAGACAATGGCAAGCCAGATTCGACCAAATCTTGTGGCGTACTTGTTAGTCCCACTGAGGAGACCCTCCAAGAAGATCCAGTTCATGGTGTTGTTTCAGATGTCAGTTGAACCCAATTGTAGAAACAGAGCACTAAAAAAGAAAATCCCAAGATGTGGGACCCACTGCTGAGGTATAGCTCGCTTGGACGCACTCTGAACTGGGCATGTCAAGCACGAAGGTGCTTTAATATGTTTCTTAATACCTGCCTGTGCCTTCTTGGCACAGTCAGAAAGGGAGGGAGGTACACAGAACAAAGCAAACATAGACCCATTCTTCAGCTAGAGTCACTTCTGTAACTGGTGATAAAACACACACACACCTTGACTAGTTCACTAGTTCACACAGGCTCTGCACCATCCTGGACGCTACAAGTCTTACATTCAAAGAAAGCCAGTTAGCCTGACTTAGAATAAATAAGGAAAGGTATGTGATACAACGAGCCAGGTTGTGTCAAAAGATACAAAAAGTCTGCCTATCAGGAAGTTTCTTAGAAAGAGACAGATGAGTATTCACTTCTGAGGAAAGTTTTTATACACACCAACCTGTCTTCTCCTGACTTTAGCGTTACTGTATATTTAAAATGTGGCCAAAAGTGTACGATCCTATCCTTGGATAAGTTGGAAACAAAGACAAAACATCACAGGTGATTTATATAATCCCATCCTTCCTGTATGAGGAACTCAATTTTATTTGTATAGCATTAAATCACAACAACAGTTCCTCAAGGTGGTTTGTATTGTGAGGTAAAGACCCTGCAAAAATACAAAGAAAACAGATGTTATAATAAAATATAATATTCATTCGCTCTTTAGCTAAATTATAATTTGGGCAAGACACTTCACCCGTTGCCTTCTGGTGGTGGTCAGAGGGCCCGGTGG